AGACTCCAGCCCCCCCGCAACCCTAGTGAGGATTAAGCAGTGTATAATGGATGGATGGATGGATGGATGGATGGATGGATGGATGGATGGATGGATGCTATGACTGGTTCCAGAAGGCTGCTAATAATGGTGAATCAAGGAATTAGGGAACCGTGTGTGGACCAATTCTGGTGCCTCTGCTCAAGCAAACAAAGGAGATAACAGCACACATTCTATCATCACAAGCCAAAACTTTGTTTACACATCAAAACTGCAAACAGAGTTTCTGAATCTCTTCACCTTGGACGGAGTTTTAAAAACAGTCCGTTTTCAGCAAACTGTGTTTGAATGTAGATGAAAGACCAAAACTTACCAAAAAACGCTAAAACAAATACAGTGCACATGTGGACAAGATCTCAAATGAATGTAAAGACTACAACAATTAATCTGTATTTGTGAGGTTTTTTCCTCAAATATTAACACAGAACAGAAGCTTACAAAGAAATAGAACCATCATCATCATTCCCAAATATTTTCTAATGCGTACATCATGTAACTACATTTTAAGGATTTCACATTCTTTTAAATGAATTTTAGTGTCCACCTTAAAACGAACAAAGACGTACAAAGTAAAGACAGAAATGGCAGTGAAGCCTATCTGGTAACCTGCTTAAGGATAGGTCTGTTATCTCTTGGAGGAGACTTCTGTCCAGGAAAGTGAGATTGTCAAGTGATTGAAAGAACGCAGAGCATGACATAATGCTCGACTGACATGTAAACGATGGACTGAAGGTTACTGCAGAGGGTTATCTTTCTCTGAGTGTAGGAAAATGAAACCTAGTATCTTCAACTGTAAAGCTGCAATGCATTATTCTTGGATCTGGCAAAAGCGCAGTAGCAGCAACAACATTGTTCATTTTACAATTAGTTTAGATCCTGTTTCTCAGTCTTTTAAACCCTACAATACCCACCAGATCGACAAGGTGGTCATTACAGCAGTACACAGAGGCATAGTTCTAATGCAGACTAAGAGGAAAAGAGATCCGCTACATATTAAAACATATTAAGTAATAAAATATTTAAACATTAGGCTCTGAGACAAGAGACAACAAGTGAGAATGTCAGAAAGATTAAAGCAAGTTTTCAACAATTTTACATTACGTTCACTGGAGCTATTTTCTACTGCCCTTCAGAACACTGTATGGCTCAATCAACTGGCTCCTTCATTAAACTTCATACCCTGCCAGATCTAATAAATTGTATTTAAAGAAGACTATTCAAATATAACAATACTGACAAAAAGACAAAAGCATGACTGGGTGAAATTTGGAAAGTAAGGAGGGAGGAGGAAAAACAGTAAAGATATCTATTACAAAGTGAGATTCAACTTTATGTTTTTCAGCACAGACGGACAAGACTACTGTTAGAGCCAAAACAACATGTAAAACATTACACCAATAAAATGAAAACAACTCACTGTAGGTAATAACTGATCTCTAGACATAACCCAAAAGGGAAGTATGGATTTTCTCAAACCACAGTTTTTAATGTGCCATAAAGTCTTCTAATTATCTGACAGTTTGATCGCTGATCGTTCAGGCAATTAATCAGGCGCAGTGATCACTAAAACTGTACATCAAATGATGGTCGATGTAAGAGAAAATAACTTCTATTGAACCGCTACTAAAAACCAAACAATAGTATGTGACACAACGAGTGGGTAAAGTATTATGTCTCCGTGTGAGCACAGTGAATGCCATCAGGAGCAGAGGCAGAGCCGACTGTTATCTCGCATTTAATAGTGCACACTCACACACACTTCCCTCTCACAAGCATACACACACACACACACATTCTTAAAAAAGGCTGTACCACTCTGTACCAGACAACGAGGAAATGAGTGAAAGAGAGGGAGAGAGGGAGGAATATAGGCACAGTTTAAAAATGTTTAATGTCAGTTAAGATGTACTGAATTAGAAGAGATGAACAGCAATGAACGACTGTCATAACCTGTCAATAATGTCCAGAAAAGGTTTTGTGATACTTAAAGTGGGAAGGTTTTCAGCTATGAAGTAATGGTGCAATAAATGGCAATAGCTTGTGTGTGCCGCTAATATTGACAGATAGATGTAAAATATTGGTCCACCTTATGTAGATGGCTGCTCTAATTCTGCAGTCTGACCATTGATTGGTATCTCCAAAATAATATGAATTATCTTTATATTCTATACATGGTGAAATTGCCACAGAAACAGCACATCATTTTTACAATCTTTAAAGTCTAGTGCCAGAATGAAGTAGCGACTTAAGATGGCATGGCCCAATCTATTGTTTTAGCTGGCTGAGGCAGGTTTCACTGACTGACAGCTTCAAACTGCTACGCAAAACAGTATACTAGAAGTCATCACACTGACGAGCCACGACCAGGAAGGAACTTTGATCATATCAGACGTGGATGACACTGACCAGGTGCCAACGCCAGCCCCATTGTAAAGCCTAGCCTTAATCTGGTGACACATTTTGATTTGGCAGCTGTCTAACTTTAGGTCCCAATCAGCTCAGAGAACCACAGTAAGAGTGAGAGAGTGAGCAAGAGAGCATTCCAGAGAACAGAGGACTTCTGTATTTTACTGGCCTGTGGCCCAATGTGCCCGTCCTCACCTCTTTGCTTCACTAACTCACTCTGTGTGTACGTAAAAGTCAGCTTTGACCCTGTTGCCATAGCAACGTGACCTCATACCTGGCAACAGAGCCAAGCTAAAGGTCATTTCAGAGTGTTGGAGCATCAGGGTCATCACATCGTACTGTCCTATACAGTTTACTATACAGCATTAAATGATGAACTCGATGCACCTGCAGCTCAGGATGACAGCTTTTTGAAAGAAAGTACATTCGGCTGGCTAGCTTTAAATCCATCCAGGTTTTGAAAATCCCATTCTCAGCCTGTACTAAGCAAACTTGATCAAGTACTTTGACTGTGATAACTTATTGTTACACAAACAAGGCTTTTTAGCTATTATTAAAAGCAATGGAAATTATTAAATAGAAACTACTATTTACTTCTTTTGTGCTTCAATACTTTTTAAAGTCACTCATTAAGTTAGGCTTAAGTTCAAACCTGTCAACATACAAATCATTTATATTAATGTCTCTACGCAACATCAGAGAAACACAGCTGTTTTGGGTTAAACTCTGCAATAACAGTCTTCATGCAATGACAAATGAAGGAAACAACCAACACTCATACTGGAAGAAGAGCCAACATATATGATATATGTATCATGACAACTGAGTGGATCAGATATGTGACTAGTCCAAGTTTCACAGGGATTTTATTG